AATGGATTATATCCAGCTGTGAAAAACTATGAATGATAGAATTTTTAAAACAGGAATGGTTTGTCTTACACCATCAAAGTTCTTCTCCCCTCTCCTGTCATCTGTTTTCAGTTCTTATGAGTATACTAAATGCCCTAGAAATGTTACATGAGGATACATGAGCTGTTTGAAGGTGTAAAGACTGCTGGAATACTGTGGGGGGACTGTGGAAATGGAGGAAGACAGATTTTATACATTCTTGTCCACAGTGCTTTTTGGGAGCTGATTGAAGAGGCCTGTTCCCTGACAGTTCTGGGATATAGTCTTGGAGAAATCTGACTAGAAGTCCAGAACAGGGCCATGACTAAAACCTCCCTGATCCTTTCATTTGAGAATACTCCAGGACAAGACACAGCTGACCATAAGCTGGAGTGAGATGTCAAGATTTGACAGTGTCTCTGGTCATGAGCAGAACTACAGACATCTACCTAATTTCACAAGCATCAGGGTATGTCTATGCAGATGCTTAAGAGCATATGGAGAGTTGTATTTTTTGGACACCCTCAGAATTCAAGCACTATTTTTCAGATTGTAGGACTCGTGAAGTTAGGAGGACAATATGGAAAAGTGTTGTGAATCTGAGGCACTGCCCAAAATTATCATATGATCTCCTTTAGTGCAACTTGGTATGTTTACCATGCAGTACATCTGTTTTTTTATTTATAGATAAATAAGAGCAGACAAAGATTCACAAGTATCTGAACATTTGTGACATTTTCTCAAGTGACCTACTTATTGAAGGGATACTGTACTTTGACTTTGAAATGTACTGAAAGAAAGTTGACACTGGCAGCCCACCAAATTAAACAACAAAAGCAAACCTTGATGTTGGCAATGCTTGAATGATAAGTCCCAGCACATGCAGATCTATATGCAAATAAAGATATTTTATTTTCATTAAGTGACAGATAAAATATTTTACTTTACTGACATGATAATGATTCATGTTGGGAAAAATCCTGTCGGCTTTCTCAAATGTTTCTGGTATTTTAAATGTGCTGATAATTTCTATTTGAAGTATGAACCACCACCAGCACTTTTGACAGCTGCAGTATCTTTTATAATCATACTTACTCTTCATCAAAGCTTAGGGAGAGTCAACACACCCCAAGCTTTTAACATTTTGTTACTAAACAGCTATGTTTTATGGATTCCTGTGGGGGCCATCCAACATTTCTGTGTTACAGCTGTAGCAATCAAACTTCTGAGCAGCAGTTTTGGAGGTTGAAGCATATTTGTTGAACACAATGGGCCTTTTATGATCTGTGTTCTTAAGTGGTGACACTGACAACATGCCTGCCGTCTTCAGCCACACACCTCCTGAACAACTACAGGCACCAGGGGATGCTGGGGGCCACCCAGCTGGAAAGCAGCTTGGCAACAGGGGAGTGGGCACCCGGCTGGACACCAAGCTGAATGGGAGACAGCAGGGAATTCTTGATGAAAGGAGGCCGGTGGCATCCTGGGCTGTACTGGGCAAAGTACTGACACCATGGCAAGGGGGGTGACCAGTCTTTCCCTCTGCTCAGCACCAGTGTGGCCTCTCCTGCAGTGCTGTTTTCAGTGCTGGGCTCCTCAGAGCAAGAGAGAAGTACACAGACTGTAGAGAGTCCAACCAAGGGCCACAAGAATGAAGTGAGTGGAGCATCTCTTCCATGAGAAAAGACTGAAAGAGCTGGGACTGTTCAGCTGGGAGAAGAGAAGACTCAGACAGATCCCATTAGTGTCTACAAATAACTGAAGGGAAGTTGCAAAGAGGATGGAGCCAGGCTCTCTTAACTAGCATTTAGTGCCAGAACCAGAGGCAATGGGCACAAACTGAAACACAGATTTTCTCTGAATATCAGGAAACACTATTCTGATGTGAGGGTCACCAGGCACTGGCACAGGCTCTCCAGAGGCATTGTGGAGTCTCCTTTGTGAAAATATTTAAAAGCTGCCTGGATAGATACACATGGCCATGCTTTGCCAGGGTGGTGGGACCAAATAATTTTCAAAGATCCCTTCTAATCTCATCCATTCTGTGATTCTAGGAAATACAATGGAAATCAAAATCTGGACCTCCTTCCAAAATTTTTTCACAGCAAAGAAAGGCGAGCATCGCATGAAACTTCATATCAAGATATTACAAAAGAGTTCCCCATTTGATATACATCAAACCAAGTCCTTCTAAAAGCTTGAGTCTCCTCCTGTCAACTGCAATTCTTTAAAGCAGCATTACAACACTGAGTTTTTAACCACAGTTTAAGATTTTCAGCGCTCAATTTTTGTACCAAGAAAAAGAAGGAAAATAAGAACCCTTGGGAATGGGCTGTTACAGACCAGCATACGGATCGTAAGGAACTGCTGCGAAAGGAAGCACACACTTGTAACTAAGGAAATGAAAAGAGATAAAGAAATATATACATGTTTTCAGGTTGCATAATCATAGACTCATAGAATGGTTTGGGTTGGAAGGGACCTCAAAGTTCCAACCAAAGCAGTGATATAAATCGTAGAGGAATGTCAATCATTTGCCAATCAGATAGAATTATAGTCTACAGGCAGTTGGATGGCAACATAATTGAGGCCTACCAATGGCTCATTAAAATATCATGCAGAGTAATCACCTTGCAAGGTACTACCTGAGTAAAAGTTAAAATACAAATTATTACAAAAAGCAGGAGTGAAAACCCCTCAGACGTAGGCAGAAGGGTTTTAGTGGCTTTGTACGGCTGCAGTTCTGGTGTCCTCAACTGCAGCTGAACATGGGGGATCCAGAACTCACAGAAGAAGGGAACAGGAATTAAGGAAAGATGGAATGACATCTCTATGAAGGGATATTTAAATAAATTAGGACTCTTCAGCCTGGAAAAGAGACAGGAGAGAGTATGGCACAGATCTGTCAAGAATGACTTAGACAAGGTAAATGCAAAAATTATTTTTATGCTGCAAGACTAGAGATTATCACGTAGCAGGCTAAAAAGGCACTTTTTTTGTACCATGCATGAGCAAATTATGGAATTCACTGCCAATGGAGGGTCTGGAAGCCAAATATATAGCATCACAAAAGGAAGATTCCATGAAGAAATGGAAGTCCCTCAAGACTTTAGCAGCTCCAAAGCTAAAGCCCACAGGCATCTGTGTAGTTGGACTGTATATTGAAACAGTATTTCTGTATATTTAATTGGTCCTTGTATTTTTTTCCCTAAAAAAGTGTGGAAATTTAGCTAGAGTATAATTTGGGTTCAGATAGACCTAGCAGAACATCTATTCTAACAAGGGGGATTTAAGCAGACAAAAAAAAAATTACTGAAAATGGCCCTTAAAGATTTCGGGGTTAGCTTTTAATTAAAAAAATTAAAAATGGAAGAAGTTGGGTATTGTACTCCATCTAGCCTTGTTGATCTGAAACGACAGAAACAACATGAGTTGAATTCATGATTTCTAAGAGAGATGCTGTAAATGCTATTCAGAAAAGGAGGCCTATGGTAAACAAGTGTTTGGTGTCTGCAATATTCTCATCATAAAGTCATTTTGCTTTGATGGATGGGCCTAGAATTTAACCAGATGCAGACATTACAGCAAATCCTTCTATTCTTACCAAAGAGATATAAAAAGCAGATTACAAAATCACTAATTTCTATCACATTACAGTATCTCCCATGTGTTTTTGAATATTCATTGGTCACCACTGGTTACTCACATGCTAGATATAACTTTTGGAGCATATTAGAAAAATCTCTCGAAGCACACAACAAACCTGCTCCCAGAAAAAATAATTTTTATGGAAGTAGCAGCAAGTAGTAGAAACAAAGATTTCCATTGGGTAGGATGTGAAATAAACATGTATCATGTCCTTAACATCTCTTCAGTGTCTACACAGGATTTAGTGAGTCAAGTCCTGAGATGCAATGACAAGATAGAAAATGAACACTCAACTCAATACAACTTTAAAGATCTGGTAATTTTATATTTTCTTGAACAAAGTTTGGCATTGTTATAAACAAAGTAGAATATTGCATAAATGCTCGACACAAATATTGTAATTAGTGAGTCAGTTCCTTAAATCAATAACCTGCAGTCATGGATAGCCTACTGGGAACCCTTTTCTAAAATAAATTTGATGATAATAGCTCATGCACATGGCTCATTTTTTTAATGAAACTTTGGAGGAGTATTTGGAATACACATAGATTTGACAATTGAAAATGGATGCTTTCCCCACTGGAAATTCTTCATAGTAGATAAATTAATTAATGATGTATGTCTAAAGATGACTGAAGTTTATGAGAAGCTTCAGAAGACTGCATTTCGCATTTCTCTTGGGTAGAAAAAAAAAATCAAATTACTTTATCCTATATTCTCCATAAAAAAAAAAAAAAAAAAGTTGTTGTAGGAAAGCAGCAGCTGGAAACGTTATTACTTTAGTCAAATCAGCCATAGATATAGGTAGTTCTGCTGAAGAAATAGTGGCAGGAAAGAAGAAATACTGGAAAGCAACTAGCAAAACAGGTTAAGGTGGGGAGGTTAGTGGTTAATCTCCTAGAGTTCCAGATGCCCAGCTCTGCTGAACTCTTCACACTAATCCCTGTTTGCCGTCTTTGCCGATTAATTATGGCTCGAAGCTTGCAGTGCCCCATCCAAAGCCGGGCTCTCCAGCCCTGCCAGGGGCACCGCTATATGGGGCCAGCACAGCTGGGCCGCAGCAAAGCCAGACAGCATCCCTAAGGATGGCAATGATGTCATGGTTAGGGAGCGTCTGGACACTGCTCTTAGTCACACGCTTTGGCTTCAGGTGCTCCTACATGGAGCAGGGCTTTGAAGATCCTGATGGGCCCCTCCCAAGTTGAGACACTTCACGACTCCATGGGCTGGCGCTGCCGCGGGGCAGGAGGCCGAGGCAGACGGCGGCCCCGCACCGGGAGCGGCACCGCCTCCCTCAGCCCGCGCAGGGCCCGCCTGCCCGCCCGCCGCCCTCGATGGTTCGCTCCCGCCGGGCGCATGCGCCGCGCCGGCCGGCTCCACATCGGCGGAAGGGCGAGCGGAGCCCGGTGGGGCGATGGCCGGCGCGGGCAGGGAGGAGCTGGGTGAGGCGACCCGAGCCGTGCTGCCCGGCGGTGGCGGGAGGGCGGCTGGCTGCGGGGCGGGGAGGAGGGGGCTTGAGCGCCGGGACCGGCCGGCCGGTCCTTACCCCCCCTCCGCTTCGGGAGAGATGGTTCGGCCCACCGGGGATGCGCTGCGGCGCTCGGCGCGCCGAGGCGGGCGGGATGAACCATCCCACCTGGAGTGGGGGTGGCTGCTGCGCTGCGATGTCTCCGCCTCGCTGGGGCCGCGGCGGCGAGGACTGAGTTGCCGGGACCGGACCGGCGGGATCGGACCGGCGGGATCGGGACCGGGACCGGGGCCGGGCGTGCTGAGGGCAGCGCAGCCCTCAGGGGCTCTGCGGGGCGGCAGGGGCCGCTCCCCGGGGCGCCAGTCGCACCTGGCTGGCGCTCGATTTCTTGGTGAAGTCACGGCTTCCGTAGAAGTTCATGGAAATACGTTCTCTTTGCATCGGTGATGCATTTATCTGCCCTGCAAGCTGGGTTGGGGTTTTTCGGGGCATATGTGTATGTGTTAGCGGTATTGTATTTATTGCATTTACAGTATATTACTCTTACCACCTTTAAATCTAATTGATGGAGGACACCTAGATGTTCATCTCTTAGTTTTTCTGCCCATGGGTGGACAAGTTAGCTCGTAGTAGGTTTAGTTATAAAGTATAGTTGTGGCTGGGCTAGACACATGGAAGATCTCATCTCAGAGCTGTGTTTTCAGAATCACAGAGTGGGTCCGGTTGGAAGGGACCACAGTGGGTTCATGTCCTGCTCGAGCAGGGCCATTCTAGAGCTCATGGCACAGGATTGCATCCAAATGGGTTTTGAGTATTTCCAGAGAGGGACAATCCACAGCCTCTCTGGGTTACCTGTTCCAGTGCATGGTCACCCACACTGTAAAGAAGTTCTTCCTCGTGTTCAGAGGGATCTTCCTGTGCATCAGTTTCTGCCCACTGCGTCGTGTCCTAGTGGTTGGCACCACTGAGCAGAGCCTGGCTCCATCCTCCCGGCACCCCTCTTTAAATGCTTACATATATTGGTGAGGTCTCCTCTAAGCTGCTGCTTCTTGAGGCTGAATGAGCCCAGCTCCCTCAGCCTTTCTTCATTAGAGAGATGCTTCAGTCCCCCAGACATCCTTGTTCCCCTGCTGGGAATCTGAGGATTAATCTGCAGATTTTGTCCTGTCCCATGGCAATGATAGGACTTGGAAGACATGCTTCAAATTTTGTTGTCCCCAAGGCTGATCCATCTTGCATCGAGAGATTTTCACTTTAGAGGAACGGTTGCTGAAAGAAATTTTAGAGCTTTTTTCTTATTTTTTCCCCCAAAAGTTCATACATAAGACAGTTTTTCCTGTCAGAAGCCCTAGAAGCTGGATTTTCTGTGTTATTAACGATTTAAAAATGCAATTCCACACCTGATAAGAATTCCAAAATCTTTTGCATGGTTCAGTGCTATTTAATACTTAATAAAGCTGAAGTCTTGCCAATGTGTTGTCACTTAAGAGTGTGTTAATTTTAGAAATGTGTGGCTTGGTCTAGACAGGTTAGTGGATTATTTAAGACTAGTGTCTGTCTGAATAAATGATCCATTGTGGGTTGGGGCAAAATTGCTCCTCGGTAAGTGTGCAATAGCTATGCAGACCTGTGTGCACTTTGGTTTAATAACTGCAAGTGTGCCCATTTTATGAGCCTTCTGGATCCAACAGTTATGATGCAAAAGCAAACACTTCCTCCTGCTTATTGTGAGGCGTTATTGACTTTCAACATTTGCTTAGAAATAACCATTCTCAAGATTAATACAGTCTACCACAAAGCTGAATAAATCTACTTTATTAAGTTACGGTCTGTAATGGAGAGAAATAAATGATCCGAGATTTATTTTCCAAAGAGAAATAAAAAGGGATGCAAATAACTGCATGAGGCATAGCTTGGAGTTCTTGACAAACAAACACAACAAAAGCTGATGCTCACTTTTACTGTTTTGGAAAATGTAATTATTAGTATTTAATAGTAATTTTTAAACCAGATGAGATTTTCCTTTTCAGTTTTCAAACTGAATAATATATTTTATTTTGAGCATTTTGTTTGTTTATTTTTATCTCTCTTATATTCAACAGGAGTAGCTGTAGTGGAAAATAAAAAGGCAGCTGGCTTGTCTATGGTTTAATGGTGTTATCTGTTACTTCCCCCTTGAGCTAGGAAAATTTACCAAGGTTTATCCGTCTGGGCCAGCATGCCTCTAGCAGTACCATTCATAGTCGCTTTGTCTTGCTCTGTAATTTCTTTGGAGGTGGTGGAAGCATGTGACTTAGCTGATCATGAGTGCTTTGTGGACCAAGCTGTACTGTGCAGTGAGATGTCCTCTGGAGAAGTGCTGGGAGGGTTATTTGTAGGCTAAAGTACCTAAATACCTAGGCAGCTATTTCCTTCTGTGGTTGAGGGAGTAACTGAGCGTTACTTTGAAAATAATTAGTCACAATGTTTCCTTTGTAATTAAATTTGTCTTGAGAGCCCTGGTTCTGAGTGTTGGATTGAAAAGCCTCTCTGCAGAACAGAGGTAATACATGGATCATCTGGCAACTGAATGCACTTGCTGGGAGCACTGAGCCTCTCCTGTTGTCACAGGTGTGGCTGCTGCCAGATATAAATGTTTATTCTGTGTTAACACTGCAGTGAAGACTCCTTGAATGTGTCTGCTTGTTCATAATTCAGTCACTAACTTTGTCCCATAAGAGCAGCCAGCCCTGGTTGGTGACAGAAGGTCTGGGTATGTCCCCAGGATCATGAATATGACTTTTCATAGCCTGTGGGAAAATATTAGCATAAACCTGCATTTTAGGCTAGTGTAAAGATGATGTGATGCTGATTTTCTCTTTTATGGAGCATGCTGGCCTAGTCAAAATAGCTGCTTGTTAAATTGAATCTTTATCCCAATTACAGAGGCACTGGGTCACCCTCTGTTTAATAAACACAGTGCACAGTTTGTGAATCTTGGGCAGTTTCTGGCCCTGTGGGCATGTTCTTGTGTAGAAGCTGACTGAGCAGTGAAGTGTGTGCAGGACCTCCTCTGCCTACTGCTTTTTGCTAAGCACTTAATATACGTGTGAAGTGTTGCTCCAACAAGACCTGTGTGTTTCTCTCCCATAAATGAGTAAAACCAGCTGATGCAAACAATGTTATGCTACATCCTGTCCCCCAGATCTTTACAAGCTTGTATGTCAAATCCACTTCATTCCATTTGCTGACACTGACTTCAAAAACCTGAAGGGACAAAAACCCCAAGCAAATGAAAACCAGACCATATTGCTAAATTGGATTTGGAAAAGGGGTTTTAGACATGAATTTGTCTGGTGCGTGACCTTCTCCAAAGGAATATTAGAGGATCAAACTTGGCTTTTATTTTTAATATCTCCTTTAGCTTGCTATGCCTGCCTGGCAAACTCCTTTATTCTTTTGTCACTGTTTCTTCCATAAAATGAAAATGATGGAGATCAGTTTTATCTCCTATGGTGCTGAGTGGTTCAGTTAAATTTGGAAGTGTTAATTGCTTGAGTAATATAGAAAAACTAACTAAAGTTCTTGGTGAAAATTAATTTCTTTGGTGAACTTTTGAACTAGAGGATTTCTTCAGTGTGCTCGAAAAGCTTGAGAATTAAGTAAATTTAGTAATAGTTCAAAGGTTTCTTTGGCAGTATGTCCATAAGTGTTGGCAAGATGCTGGCAAATTCTAGGGGATAGAAAAGTACGTGTGAAGACACAAAATTGGGAGTAATAGTTGTTACAATTTTAACACTATGGATTTACTCTCTCTGTGTTACTGCCAGCTGATTAATGATTGAAATTTGGGTCTTTGAGGATAGAGTGTTGACATTTATGCATGATTATAGTGTGATGTGCAGCCGTAATGAATCAGAGATTTATCTCTCCAGTGGCTTAAGGAATTAGTTTCAACATTGCTGTGATAAGGCTGGAGAAGATGAAATGCACTTTGTGTTGCCTTGGTTGATAGCGGTAGATGCAGAGCTTTTTGGCACCCTGCTTGCATGGATGTTCACAGAAGAAAGCAGAAACAGTGTCAGTTTAATTAACTGTTAAAGACAATCAGAAGACAGCGTTTGATCTGAAAAGATTTTTGTGGTGGAACGAGGAGGAAAGAAATTCATATTGGGTGATGGAAGGACAGGGCTGAAAATTGGTTCTTCATCTAAGTGAAAACAAAAGGGTGTGCAGAAATGAATTTCCTTATTTTTAGTTGTGCTGAATGATGATAATGCAAAATTTTCAGGGGCTTCTGTGGCTGATCACTGGGTTGGATTATTCATAGTGTGTTTGGGTGCAGCCAGGATAGTTTGGTGGAGCATGGATCTAATGTTGGCTGAGGTGTGCTCTGTACCATGTGCTTTATGAGAGCAGCAAGACACCTTCATCTCTGATTCAGGTATGACATGCATATGCTGTTCTTGTGCTGCAGTTTGAGATTGTGTTTAAATTGCACATATTGGACCTTTGTAGGAAGGAATCAAAGTAAATGTGGGGGTATTCAGTGCCAGTTTTCTGGCAATGACTCTGGATGTTCCAGAATAATTAATTTCAAGCTAGATCCAAGTATGGAAAGCTAAAGCTTTTTTTGTCTCGTGCTACAAGTTTGGACCCATTCAGTGTGGATGTTACACAAACCTGGATGTCGCTGTGGGTATGGACTGTGGGACACAGCCACACTATTCCAACAGAGATCTGTTATCAAATGAAAACCTGTGCTTAGAAAGTTGCTTGATCCACACCTCCCATTAATGTCTCAGTACCATTACTGTTAATGGGTTCACATTTTTAGGCCAAAGCTGTACATCATGGGATGAAGGAGGAGTGATGAGGAAAAGAAGCAATTCAAGAGCATTTTTATGACTAGGATAGAGACCAGATAGCATTCTTGGAATGTTTTATATAATGCAGTATTGCAGAGGAAACTGTACTAAGTCATAACCTGTATAGTTATGACAGTGTGAGTTGATGATGTTGCTGTAGCCTGTGTTTTGAAACTTCTAATGGAACTTATTCTCAAATGCATTGTTACATTAGAATAGGAACAGCGAACTCCAAGCCTTAGTGTGCATATTGGAAATGGATATTCTTGGCTCTAATTTAAGCCATTTCTGAGAAGGTGGGTGAATGGGGCAGTGGGAACAGTGATAACAATAACCCTGAGATGACTAGATGGCTTTATGCATGGGGACGTGACTTTTCAGAAGAAAAATAGCTTGTGTTAGGAAAAATTTAATTACTTGAAAGATGAGGGGAGTGCTTGAGTATATCTAAATCTATTCTTTAAGGACTACCTTTGTGATCATAAGATGGGTCAGGAAGTTGTGAGAGAAAGTAAAATGGGATGTCTAAATAAAATCCAGAGTCTTCTGTGTGTCATCTAGCTACATGGTAAACAGTGTAGATGTATGTATATGCCAGATGTTCCAGTCTCAGGTTGCAATGAAAGAAGAAAATTTTACTTTTCTCCCTTGATTGAGCAGTTGCTGATACTCACCAAAGCTGTTGGTCCTGTGGGTCATGCTGGTCCTGTGCTACTGCTAAATAAGAGCCTGACTTGCTGCTTCTTGTCATTATTGTTTAGCATTATGAAGAGTATCCTACAAAATGTGAAGGAGATAAAACTGGAAAAGTAATTTAAGTATTATTTCTTTTATATGTTGTTGAATTTCATGTGATCACAGACTTGCAGGCTTCTAGTTTGGCTTGTTTCTTCAGATTGTTAGTTTAGAATCAATACTTTAAAGAATGAAAATCAGCCTAATCAATTGCTCACTGGGTGAAACTTCTGCTCCCTCTGATCCCTGAGGAGGCAAACTTTTACTCCAGAGTATGCAGGTCTTTGTGAGCATCAAATGTGCCCAGCAGGGACTCAGAGCTGAGGGGGAGGATGGTGGTGGCATCCTCAAGAACTAGTCAGCACAATGCTGTGGGAGCAGAGGGAGGGAACTCTGGTGATCCATCTTTTGATCAATTCATAGACTATGTGCCACGTACAGAAATGTGGTGAAGTCCACCCTGACTTGTATAATTAGAATATCGCTGAGTATAAATTTGCTTTACAGTGTATTTTCTGGTTGGGTCTCTGACCTCTGATTTTTGCTCTTGACCAGACATCTTTGCTTCTGTCAAGTGCTTTCATTACTGGCTTTCAGCTTTTCAGACATGAAATTTTGACAACCCTTTGGTGTTTTCAGGAGAGTTTGAGCTATATGATTTAATGTTAATGACTTGGATAAGCTGCTTTCTGCTTTGTGGGATTTTTACAGTTGTTCTACAGTTTTTCTTTAGAAGTTGTTTAGCGTTGGCTTCAGTGCTCTGCTGGTGGGTTAGACATCTCCAAGACTTCATAAAAACCTTAATGATTTGTTTAATGGCTGTGGTGGGTTGACCCTGGCTGGATTCTGCGTGTCCACAAAAGCTATACTCTATCACTCACCTCCTTAGCTGGAGAAAATATAACAAAATGCTTGTGTGTGGGTTGAGAAAAAGACAGGGAGAGATCGTTCGCCATTTACTCACCATGGGCAAAACAGACTCAATTAGTTGAATTTCTTATCAGTCAAATAAGAGCAGGGTAATGAGAAATAAGAATAAATCTTAAAAAAACCTTCTACCCATCTCTCCATTCTTCCCAGGTTCAACTTCACTCAGAATTTCTCTACTTCCTCCCCTCCAGTGGTGCAGGGAGATGGTGCATAGGGACTGTGGTCAGTTCACCACATTGTTTCTTCTGCTTCTTTCTCTTCGGTGGGAGAACTCCTCACACTCTTTCCATGTTCCAATGTGGAACATGTTTCCATGTTCCTCTCCCATGGGAGAAAGTCTTCTGGAAAATGCTCCAATATGGGTCCCCATGGGGTCACAAACATGCCAGCAAACCTGCTCCAGACTTAGACTCTTCTCTCCATGGGCCCACATGTCCTCTGCCAGGAAGTCTGCTCCAGTGGGCTTCCCTTGAGGTCACAGCCTTCTTTGAACATCCTGCTCCACTGTGGGGTCCTTCAGGAGCTGCAGGTGGATCTCTGCTCCTGCACCATGGCCTGCAGGGGAATCTCACCTTTGGTGCCTGGAGCGCCTCCTGCCCCTCCTTCTGTGCTGCAGGACTGTTCCTCTCACATATTCTCAGTCCACTCTCCAGCTGTAGCTACTTGGCAGATTTTTTTTTTTTTCCTTCTTAACTCTGTTATTGCAGAGGTGCTGCCACCATCGCTCATGGGCTTGGACATGTCCCACAGCAGATATGTCCTGGAAGCAGCTGGCATTGCCTCTGTTAACATGGGAGATGCTTCCTGCAGCTTCTCACTTGAAGCCACTCTGGTAGCCCCATTACCACCAAAACCCTGACACACAATGCCTGCTTTGTAACATAAATGTTACTGTAGTGTGGTTTGTTTTGTTGGTTTTTTTTTTAATACAAAATGTTAACATTACAGGGAACTTGAGACTTATTCAACATATTTTATGAATGGATACTGTGGTAGGCAAGTGTAGGGTAAATAATCTTTTTGCTCTTGGCAGGATTTGCTTTGCTTAACTGTAGTAATTTAAAATGGTTATAATTTCCTCAACATTAAACTGGCATAAGATGTTAGTTTTGCCTGAAAGGCAATTTTGTTCACTACTGACTGCTTGCTGTTACTTGGTGCTGTTACTTAGCTGGAATTTTATGCCAGTTTAAAAGGTTCAGGAAATTGCAGCTTTCAAAGCATGCAACCTGATTCCTGTATTTTGGTTCTTTCTTCAATGAATGGAGATACTTTCTGTGGTATCTGTCTTGCCTCTCTGAGTGCAAACTTATTGTTTAATTCTGAAGTAGCTACCAGCGTTTAAGATGAATCTCACCCTTTTGTAATGATGGATGACTTTTCTGTTTTGCTTTATGTTGCATTAGCTTGCAAAGTGATTTAAACTAGTGACATTTTCATGATAGAAATTTGCTTTTCTTAACGAAAAACTGTAGTGTTTGGCAATAATAATAATAGTAATGAGATGGTGTGTCACTTTAAAGAGAGAGACTATCCTGTGCAAACTTGTGCTCTATATATCTGATTAAATAATCTTTGTATTTAGGAACATGTTAGAACCTCATTGTATGGGAAGTTTGAATCCTGTCTTACTTCTGAACTATAAACTTGTTTGTAATGCTAATGTAGTGTTACCTCTGTTGTACAGGCATGGAAGTAATGAAGCCTTTAATTGATGAAGAAGACTCAGATGGCATCTCAGATGAAGAGCATGAAAATACTTTCCTGCCAGTTAAGACGCACTACCAGCTTGATAATGAAGAAGGCATTACGTATGTGTTCATCTTAAGCTTGTTTAGATTTCTTGCCTCTGTCTTGTTTCTTATGAGCAGTTTTCTGAACTCTGAAAGGGTCTTCCTGGACCTGCAGAACAGTTTTGTGGTTATACATAAGGACTTTGCATAATTCTTCCAAAAAACAGCCCATTTTGAGTAGGTTCTCACTTCTTTTGAAGCTAACAATGTACTGGCTGTAAAATATTTCAAGGTTCCTATTTGTAAAGTGATTAGAACTATGAAAAGAACTATGAAATGGCTGAGAAATTAGCATCTCACAAGCTGGAGTAAGGAACTGAAGATCAAACTTCTATTTGAGTGTTCTATTTGAGGGTGCTCGTGTGTAAGGATGAATAGAAACATTATTTGAATGTGTTGCACTTCTTTAAAATAGCTGGACCACTGTAAATTTTAAGTTGAAACTTGAAATTTTTAATTTTATTATAGAGAAAGGGTGAGGTTTTGTTTTTGCCCTCTACCCCATCAGTGTGTACTTCTAATGTGACATTTTATCCTCAGGTTTATACAAACACTGACTCACCTCCTCAAGGGAAACATTGGAACTGGGCTTCTTGGTCTTCCGCTTGCAATAAAAAACGCTGGCATTGTGGTAAGAATTCTTTTTTCATAGACTAGAAAAATCATCTAGAAAGATTTTCAGATATATGTCCTGAAAAACTAAAATCTCAATGCTTCTTATTTGTCACTGCCATATTGATAGAGTTGTGTCATTTCTTCTCTATAATTTGGGGAAATCAGTACTGACGATGAAGATTTTTTTTTGTTTTATAGGAAGTTACTGCTTCACCCTGAAGACTTCATTGCATGAGTTGCATTTTTGCTTAGCCAAAGTATTTTTCTGGTCCAAACAAAAAGTTTGTCAGAAAAAAAGAAATATTTTCATTTACTCAGACTCCTGTGATGTCTCATGGGAATTGTTTCTATGGGGCTGTCTTATCTTTGTACAGACTTCTCTAGAGACAGATTGTATGTCTTAGGATGAAACATCAATTTGTTAAATCAATCTAGTTTTTCTGCAAAAATAGGGTATAGCCAAGGTTGTTTATACCTGGTAACACACAATGCATTTCCTAGGGCAGGGTAAATTTAATCAAAAGAAATTTTCACCTTATGACTAAATAATCCTGTAATTCCATAGTACAGGTTGTTCAGTTTGAGAGTGAAAATTACATGGGTGTAAGGCAAGTTCCTTCTGTGAAAACTTGTGGTCAAGCATTTATTCTGAAGCAAATGATTTAATTTCATAGTTGTCTGGAGCTTGTAACTTTTGCTGTCATTGCAATTCAAGTGGTTCAAACTGCTGAATTGTGCAGTCTATGCAGTCTTCTTTCTTGAAAAACTTTTTGGCAAGTGAAACAGTTAAAGGAGTGAAGTACTCATTTGGTACTTAGGGCTTGATCACCCCTGAATAGCCTTCTCTTAAGTAGTGAACTGAAAATAAGGGATGCCATGAAACATGAGCAGCAGCATCCACCTGACAGTGAAAAATTTTTAATTATTACTTTGTTTGCTACAATGTGAAATTTTTTCTTGTAAAGATTTTTCCCCAGCATACTTCCATGAAAATTTCTGTATTTCCTGTGTCATCCCTTTTTTTTTCCCCATACCAGGTTGGACCAATCAGCCTTGTGTTCATAGGAGTTATATCTGTTCACTGTATGCACATCTTGGTACGTTGCAGCCACTCTCTATGTCAGAGGTAAATGTGGAACTATTCATTCAGTTGCTGAGTTTGAAGTAATTTTTTTAATTCCTCTTTTCTTTTTGTGATCTTTGGTCTACAAATACTCTGGTACTGTAGCAGTTTCTTCTGTCAGTTTAGAATCTTCTCAAATTCTTGAGAATTTGTGTGTACCTAGTAATGATAGCTGTGCTTTGTGCAACGCATTGAAAAAACATATTTGTTCTCTGCTCAAACACAAAATGAGGTTGGTTTAACTTGTTTTTCCCAGTACCTTCTTCCCTGCTGGCAAATAATCAGGTCTTTCTCTTGGCAGTTTTAAATGCTTATTTTAAGTCCTTCTTTATATTCATAGAGCTTCTGAGTCTTCATAGCTTTGAAAAATGTAAATAATCTATGAATGCCCAGTTTATAAGTATTTTATAGGAGTAAAAGATAAAGTAAGAAATACTGTTAATGTCTTTCATGATTATATGTGAGCTCTGTCTCTGAATTGTGGCAACTTGATTCTTTGAATATGTAGTGCTGAAGGAATGTGTTAAAATGATGCTATTGAGCAGATAAGTATTGAATATTCCTCCAAGTGACATGTGCAGTACTGTGGGCAAGCAGTTACTCAGGTTTGACTGACAGAGAATTTTGATTAATAGTGACTTTCATTAAATATTTTTATTGTACTGTCAAGTGTTAAAGAGAAGCAGTGGGAGGGTCTCATGTTGCAGAGTGCAATGAACTTTTGAACTGAGTAGAATCACAAAACTATTAATGTCCCTGTAGCTGGAAAATCTATTTTACCAGATTAATATGATATTGTACTGTGAACAGACCCTGTCATTCCTGAATTTTTCCTGTGTAGTTTTGAATGGTCTTTAAAGTTGATGACTGAAATAAGATCATCCAATCAATTGTGATTTACTGCTTGTGCATCAAGACTTGAATTCTGTTTAAGTTCTTTGTAATTTTAGATTTGAGATTAATTTCTTAAGCTCATATAACAAGAATATGATTTTGGAGTAGTTTATCAAAAAAAACCCTTGTTTTGTAAGAAACTCATTTAGTACTGTTGAACTGGGGGGAAGCAGCACTGTGTTTCACGTGCTTGCAGAGTGCTAAATAGCCCTTGCTGGGGTAAAGAAGCCCAAACCATATCTCTGAAATTCAGCAGCAGAGTGTTGCCACAGGTGACAACCTGGTATAATCATGGAAGACCAACAGCATTTTCAAAGTAGGGTTCTGGGTCATCATAGTTTCTGGTAACTCTGTGTTTTCTTCACTTTTTGATTTCAGGATGAAGAAGTCCTCCCTGGGATATAGTGATACAGTCAGCTGTGCCATGGAAGTGGGGCCCCTGACTGCTCTTCAGAAACGAGCTTCTTGGGGCCGGTAAGTTTGAACTAGAATTTAATTGAGTAAATTAATTTTTAGAAGTTAATGGCTGCACTTGGAATGATTAGGAGATGTCTATTTTACTAAGATTTTACCTTCCTTAGAAATGCTCTTATGCATTGTTATTTGGTATTTCCTGCTGCCAGTGGTGATTTGGGAGGATGTCTGACTTTATTAGGTACATCAATTTTCAGTTCTACAAGAGCTCTGAAAAAAATGAATTCTGTTTAGTAATATAGGAAGACATGTGTTATAACCAGAAATGCATTCTGTGTTGTCTAATGCAATGAAGTAGTTTAAGTTTTCATTCTCTTTTCCCGACATTTCTCTGCATTGCAGGTTTACCCTGCAAATGTTAATTACTTTGATGTATGTATTCTGAGACAAAGCAAAACAATTCTTTGGTTCCTGTTTAAATACAGCATACAAATAATGGAGAAATACTTACTGTTTTTGCAATAATGACATGAAGATATAAATGGCTTGTTGTGTCTGTTAAATATTTTATCTCTCTTTTACCAAAAAACCACATTATTTTTTTCTTTACCATCTGTTGCTGTTTGTAGAGTTTATGTTATGACTGCACAGTAGTGAAATTGTGAATCTTAAACAGACACATTGCTCAGCGTTAATTTAAAATGGTTTTTACCTCACTTATGGAAGAATTTTTTAAATTCCTGTTACTTTCAAGGATGCAGCATCTTGCTAGTGAGCTAGTGTTTTAAGGTATGTTGTGATGACTTCATAGGGATGAAGTAGTGCTCAATTAGAGGGAAAATTGGTTTGTTCTGATATATAATTCTGATAGATTTTTTAATATTCTGATATACAATTTTCTATTGCACCAAAGAATTACAAGCCTCAAATGGGCAATGGGGTCTCCAGAGACTCTGTGCTGCAGCAAATCCATTCTCTGGGGCAGGTCTCTGCTCCTAGCAGAGTTTCATTGCAGTCTGTCTTCACGCCACCATTGTGTATCACTTTTTTCAAAAACAGTCTGAGCCACAGTGTTCTTTCAATGATCACCACCCTGTTTTGACAGGGGAGGAACCTGCACTGCACTGCTTGTGAGATTACTGTGGCATTTGAGTCTAGCATTTTGATTACTCTAAAAAGGAGCAGTAATTGCATATTAGGTAGCAATGGGATAATTGTTTGGCTCTTAAGTATAATGTATGTTTGTTTTTTCTTCCTCAGGTATATTGTGGACTTTTTCCTAGTGATAACACAGCTGGGATTTTGTGGCGTTTATGTTGTGTTCTTGGCAGAAAATGTGAAACAAGTGAGTAATGCTGACATATGAAAGCAGATATGGGTTTAGATTCATTTTCCCTCACTTTTATTTCCTATAAAGCTTTTGGTTAAAAGGGGCAGTGAGCAAGGTGAACTAAATTCAGCTCTTCTGAAAGTGTATATTTCCTTCTGACTTTTTTGTTGAGTTTAAAAATCAATTGTGGAAATGATGGAAAATAAGGCATAAAATGGTGTAGGAGCCAGTTGTCCCAGAAATATTTTTTTTCTAGGCTTTCTGCTGACTTCCTTTTTTCTCTCCAAACTCCTGGGCATATTTTATCCTTTTCATATAACTGGAATTTTTTTTTAGGTTCTTGTTTAGTCCCTTCTATTCACAGAATCCACTGTATCTAAATGAATCCTGATTTTTGTTCCAAAAAATGCCTGACATTGACATTTCTACAGCTTCCTCAGTAGTCAGTTCCAATGCTTTCTTTATCTGTTAGACAGCTGCTTCTTTAGAGAAGCCTCAGATTTCTTACTGATATTGTAAGTTCTTTTTTTTTCATGTTCTAGCTATAAGTAATTTATTCTTTTCTATTTGTGGACATCTTTTATATTTTTGAATATTTTTATCCTGTCTCCCCTCGATCTAATAGAGGGGAGACATGATATAATCTTAAAATTGTTCTTGCTCTTCTATGAATGCTTTGCATTTGGTCACATCTCTTTCTTTCAAGTTTTATGCCTGAAGTTGCTGAAGTCAACTAAACAAATGCAAATGGATCCCCACAACCACAAACACCTTTACACATTGCAAGCAACCCCAAACCTTTGAATAAAACCCAGCTACCCCTTTTCTTCTCTGCTGCCATCCATCACTGACAAAAGCAAACAAAACCATGCCTGGCACTTTTGTGACACTTCTCCTGCTTTCATTTACCTGCTTTGTCTCTTGCTCTCCAGTCCTTCCAAGCTCTTTCTCATAGGGGGATTCTCTTGATGGGGTCCTGGTGGGTGTTGGTCCTTCCTCGGGGCACACTTGGCAGTTGCAGTCAGCAGTTTGTGTGTCTGAGCATGTGGTCCATGGAGGGTCAGCCAGCGCAGGATGGATGCTCAAACACAGGCGCGTTGAGCTTGTGGTGCTCTCCCTTCTTTTCATAATTCCAGGACACTACCAATGTGCTCTGCTGTGTTTTCTGCTCAGGGGACTATGGTAAGTCAGTTATCATAAAGCTTGATGAGTCTGAATCTCATTGGGCCTGTATCTATACATGCACTGGTGAGGAGGCACCTTGAGTTCTGTGTCCAGGTCTGGGCCCCTCACTTCAAGAAAGACATTGAGATGCTGGAGTGAGTCCTGGCAAGGGCAGTGAAGCTGGGGAAGAGACTAGAGAGGAAGTGATATGAGGAGTGACTGAGGGAGCTGGGGGTGTTAAACATGGAGAAAAGGAGGCTCAGGAATGACCTCATCACTCACAGCAACTGCCTGACAGGAGGCTGTAGCCGGGTTGTTGTTTTCTCTCAGGCAGCCAGTGAGAGAATGAAAGGACATAGTCTGAACTTGTGCCAGGGAGGGTCCAGGTTGGACATCAGGAAGAATTTCTTCATGGGAAGGTTTGTTAAACATTGGAACAGACTATGTGGGGAGGTGGTGAAGTCCTGGAGGTGTTCAAGAAACAACTGGATGAGGCACACAGTGCCATGGTGTAGTTGACAAGGTGATGATTGGTCAAAGGTTGGACTTGGTGATCTTGGGGATCTTCCAACCCAAGCATTTCTGTGACTCTCTGATTCCGTGTATGCTCCTGTGAGTAGTGAAGTGAGGAATAAGGTGTGGTAGGTTGCTGAGCATTAATTGTCCATATAGATTCTTACTCTACCCATAAGGTAGGTAACAGGTGGCTTGGCATTGCTTACCTTAATTTAATTGGGAAGAAGGCTGTCCCCTTTGGCAGTTAGCACATGGAAGATAGTTTGGGTTTTTCATCCCCTTGTGGATGAGTATTTATATAGTGTTTAAGAAGTGTTCCAAGTTCTGTGGATGAAGATCTATCAGAATTAGGCAAATTTGTGTATTTGGAAGCTGTGTACTCTGTAATTTGTATGTTGTGAGGGAAAAAAAAATACTAGCCTTTAAAACTACACTCCTACCTTCAGAATCTGTCTCTAAAGCTAAGAATACTATCTGATGTCGTTTTGCTGGCCTTCTGAAATGAGATCTTTAATGCATGCCTTGTAATGCAAGTTTAAATTAAAGCCTTTCTTATCAAATGCTTACCTGATCAGCTGGTTATGTATGTGCTGTGGTCTTAGGCAAAAGATGAGACCGAACACTTGCTGACTTCGGCTTTTATAGAGGGGAAAAAAATCCTAAAATGTTTTTCAGGAAAGTTTTTGCTTTCTTGAGGAAACATTGAAAGCTCTTACAGGAAGGCAGCTGCTGCAGAAGCAGTAGCTGCAGAGACCTACAACATGGACCCTATGGATGGGTGGATTAAAGTCATTAGCAATTCAGAAGTTCCACTTCCAAATGTACTTGATTTGGACTGCCCTTTGCTTGCTCTTCTCTGAGGGAGAACTCTGGTTTGTTTCTTCCTGGCAAATTTCTATTGCAGAAATCAGTCCCGTAGAGGGCACCAAAGAACAAAAATTGTTACGGCCTAAATCTATAATGATTTGGGGTAGTGAAAGGATGGGGAAGGTGGACAGAGGGAGTGGGGGGGGCAGGAAGGGGAGAACTGAAATAAAGGAAAAGCATAGTAAAAATATTACTGATAGCACACCATGACTGATACATCTGCATTATAATCTGTACTTTGCTGATCATATTTGCACGTTGTTGTGTGCAAATTAAACCCATTGAAGCTGGTGGAAACGTATACTGAGATTTTTCTGCATTACATTACGGTTTCCCAGACACTGTGATGGAAGATCCTATCTTCAGTTATGTTGAATAGCAAGTCAAGCTTTTCCTAAGGAAAAATATTTTCCAGGAGCAACAAAGAAACTTAGACTGGTGACAAAAGTTCTGGTTAACTCTGTCAGGATGTAATATGAGACTTATGGGTGAAAGTGTTGCAGACTGGAGAAGAACAGTAAAGCTGGAACGAAAATCTTGAGGGCTGACTACAGCAAGGCTAGGGAAGGAACACACAGGGATAGAGAAAAGAAGCTGTGCTGAAAAAAACATGGTCCCCTTTCATGCCATAGTTGCTTTGCATTTCCTGCTTGGACACCGGAGGACCCTGTGTCAAGAGTTCTGGCATTTCTTAGAGTCATGGAATTGTGAAGGTTGATTTTTGCAGAGGTTTTTATTAAGATTAACCAATACTGCCATGTTCATCAATAAACCATGCTCCCAATTGCCACATCCACACATTTCTTGAACACTTAAAAGGGTGGTGATTCCAAGACTTTCCTGGACAACTTCTTCCAATGCCTGACCACCCTTTTTAGTGAAGGAAAATTTATTCCTTTCTTTTACATGTTTGCTGAGTTCTCTGTATGTTTGCTGAGTTCTCTGCAAAAGTGTCCTCTTTCATTGTTTGCTGATAAAGCTAAGAAATGAAAACACGTTCTTGCTTTTTGTGAGCATTTTTTTAGATCTTTAGCACCCTGAAGATGACCCAACAGTAGCATACTATGTAGTGGAATTCTGATTTTTTTTTAGGGAAAAACCTTACAAAACTTTGGGAATTCTGCTTAGTCATAAAACTGGATGTATTAAAAATGCTGCAAAGTACAGTATTAAGTTTCAGGGAAGTGCCAAAACTAAATGAGCTGTGAAACATTTATTTGGCCTGTTCATGGAAAATTGCAGTGTTATAATATAGTCTTTATCTCTCTGATAACATACTGATTTTATCCCAGATCTGGCCTTGTGTGTTGAACTGGCTGTTGCTCTGAGCTAAGTAAGGAAGAAATTAGGAGGAACCAGTGAGTTCAAGCACTGCTGTATTGAGGTGACTAGATGTTGAAAAGTCCATAAAATTGCATGACAGAAAGAGTGTGGTTTGGGATACAGGCAAGGAAACAGTGGTCTCAGTTGAAGAGACTTAAGGACATGGAATTATTTCTTGCTTCTGAGATAGTTCCTTTAAGAGCAAGTGTTTTGTTTTTTCAACTGATTTTTTTTCAGCCTCTAATTGTGCATTAGTTTTCTGAGTGGAGAAGGAACTTGATATCTAGATTTGCACAATGTTTGATATTCTTGTATTCAGCTGAATGCTATGCATAGGTTGTAAAAATGAGTGAAAAAAACTTTTTCAGACATCACACCAGCATGGTAAATTAATGCTTGAGTAACTGAAGTAACTCCTGATGAAATCTTTTGTCTGGGGACATCACTATGCTTAGTGACTTTAGTGTCTATGTGCTTCCTTTCTAAAACCATAATATTTCCTCATGTGGTTTGGGGAAATGTTTGACACCAGGTCATGTTGCTTTGTTCAGGACAAAGGCAGTTACATGCAGTGTTGGCTGCTCTTGGCACAGCATGACTGCCATATGCAGTAATGCACTAGCAGAGAGCAGTAGAGGATTGAAAGTGATTATTGTCCACAATAGAAATCTGAGGTAATATTAATTCTAATATTTAGGAGACTAGATTAGATAGAAAGTGCATCATAGTTCATCCTAACACAGTCAGCAGTAGATTTGCACAGAACTAAACAGCACATGAAAATGTTTAAAAATCCAAAATTCTTCCTGCTGTTTTGTATTTTGGTACTTTTGGAACAGTTTTAAGTGTTGTCTGATAAATTTTTCAAAGCAAAATTTAGGAAAACACTTCAAAGTCATGATGATGTTAGCCTGAAAAAGTCATTATAATCTCATCTTCATTAGAGTTTTCCTTTGCTACTCTGCTGTCAGATCTCCCACAGCCATTGTTTCAAGAGAGAGAGTAGTGATCCTTACTTTCTATAACTTTTGCATTTTACTTTCCAACTCAGCTTTCTTCTACCTGTCAGTAACTCGTGCCTGTTTGTTTAGTTCTCCCACAGGATTAACCCTTGCTGGGTCTTATCTGGTGTGCCTCTTCTGAGTTAATATACAGGATCCCATTTTTGTCACATCTCAAAATCCAACTTTGCAGGATATTTTCTCTGGTCTTGCCTAAGCCCATAAGTGGTACTGCTCTGACTGATGTTGTTAAAGCTGCTCTCTTGATACAAAGTTGATTTAAAGGTGTATATATATCCACAAAAGGGAATAAACTGTGTCCTCCTGTGCATTTTTATCAGTATAACTGTGTCCATGAATCTGAATTTGTACATGATGAGAAAGCACTAAATGCCACTTTGAATTTAGCAAGTTTTTCCATGCTGTCACTGTCAATAAATATCCTTGTATCCAAGAAAGGTTGTTAGAGGATGGACGGATAGATGAACGGACAACTAGCTAAAGAGGGGGAAATAAAGCTGTTTGTGTCATCAGATTCAGAGGATAGTGGTCATGATCAAGAGCCAGCAATGTGCCCTGAAAGCAGCAGCATCCTGGGTTGTATGAACAGAAGAATTGCTGGTAGATGGAGAGAAGTGATTGTCATCCTTACTATCCATTTGTTAGACCATATCTGCTGAGTTCTGATATCCTCAATACGGGAATGCCATTGACAGACTGAAGTGAGTTTAGGGGAGACTGCTGAAATGATTGGGACTGAGGCACCTGTCCTTTGAGGGCTGCAGAAACTGGGCTTTTTCAACTTGGAGAAGTGGCTTTTGGAGGACTTAGGAGCAGCCAGGACTGCAAAGAGTTTAGAAAATAAAGTCGAGTTTTGTGCTTGGTGAGGTCAAATGGGAGGACAAGGGAAAGTTATAAAAAAACATACAGGTAGGTGCCGTTCCTATCTCAGGCTAAAGACAGCTGTAACTGCAAATCTGGTTAATGCAGAATAGTAATCTGTACTGAGCAGGTTAAGAATTCCATCATTTGTATATTTTTTTATTTTTTCTCCCCTTACAGCTAGAATGTCTTTGATGCCCTGATTTCTTTCTTTAAACTATATTTCAAGGAACAGGACCAGTTACAGGCTTCTGCAAGTCATTAAGTTTTTGAGAATCTGTTTGGCCTCCATTTCCTTCTCCAGAGAATTCTGGAGCAGGGAACAATGTAGGGAGAACGGTTACCACACTTATTGTATTGTAAAGCAGGTTATAGTGTTGTGATTTATTGCAGGAATGTAACTCGTTCTGAAACTGCAAATGGGAGGTGGGAAGGTAGGGCTAGGGAGGCACTGTCTGAGCATTTTAGTCAGCTGTGTTTTGCTGATTGCGCATCAGTATCCATTCACCTGATGAAGGTTGTGGAGAGTTTGTGTGTAGCTGTAGTATGTTCTTTCTCTGTGCTTCCCTCAGTACTCTTGTGAATGTAAAAGGCAGATAATTATAAAGGCTATTTTGTATGACCACACTTACCTAACACAATGTGGAGATGTGATCTTATCACACCCATTATCAGGGCAGCTGAACACAGTAGGCCAAAATTTGGATACGATTTTATAGGGTATTGTGTACTGCATTTTCCAACAGTATTAGCCAGTAAACTCCAGTTGAATGGAATTTGTGGTGCTAATAGGAAAAAAATATTTCTGACTTCAGGCACTTTCTAATGGAGTTTATGTGTACTAAGGGAATGCCTCTGTCTGTAAGAGAAGACTGAAGTGTTTGGATACTTGAAATTATTTGAGTAGAAGCTGGTTTATACTGTGGTATTGTAAAAATGTATTTTAGAACCTGAACTGTATCTTGCCTGCTAGTTTTTTTGTTTGGTTTGGGTTTTTTAAGGAATGAATGTTTTATTTATTTTTTTTTTCTAATAGCTCATCAGGCTACAGATATTTGTATGAATTGAAGACATGCTGGGCTAAATATTTATTGTAGCAGAGAGTTTCTGTGCTCAAATCACTTTGTGATTCTTAGAAGCTCTTTTACATATCCTTGTGTGCAGAGCAGCACTGGCTACCTGCAAGTGCATGCAAGCAAGTAAACACACAAGACCTCTTAAAGTGAAAGACCTAAAGTGCTTGTTCTGCATTTCTGTTTTAAGTGTAGTGGGAAAGCAGGAAGCTTCCACAGAGAGCTTTACTTCATGTGGCATTAGGGAAATAATTTGGTTAAGTGTTTGACTTACAGCTTGGCAAAGTCAAGTTATTGTAGCTGTGTGAATTAAATTCTAAGTGTAATTAGAACTTCTTTGTAGCTTTCTAAAAATGGTATCTTAATGAAAACTACCAGATGTTAAATGTCTTGCAAATGACACTTTAGATTCTTGCAAGGTAGAAACCATCAGTGTTTCCATAATGACCAGTGATGTTTTCATATAATTGAGATTTCTGGAAAGCATGCAATTGCAGAATTATATCATTTAGCTTTTCCTTTTTCATTGTGGAAAAAAAAGTACAGTGCTTTTGGTTACAGAAAGAATAGTTTTAAGTTAATTCACTCTTTCTGAATTTGTGGATTGTTCGAAACAATGGAAATCAAGCAAGTTATTTCAGTTATATATCAGTTTAGCATTTTTGTTTGTCTCTGTGGGAGATTAGGATTTTTTTTTCACTGTCTAAGTATGTTTTTGTAGCCATCAAGCCAAAGGCTCTATGCAGCATGAGTAAATTAAGTACAGTCATAGGCTCATTTGTAAGATGCTGAATGCAATGGTAGAGAAGAAAAGGATACCTAAGGGAAACAGCATGAGGAGATCTAAAACAAATAAAACGGTTCTTGTTTTGCAGCAAGCAGAATAACCAGCAGCTCTGAATGTTTTGATTGTGGTGTGCACAGCACAGATGGCTGTGTAAATTTCCACAAAACAAATTTTTGGCAGTTGCAGCCACGCTGAGTTTTTCCGAACAGAAGCAGTGAGAGTCATAAATAGTTCCAAACTCAATCTTCTGATTTGCACTACATGCAGCTATTATAATGTTATGTACAAAAAAAAACCTAATGCACTTTCACATTGTGTACTACTTTTAATTTATAGGCATGAATTTGTATCAGTTTATTAGATACAGAACTCTCAATTCTGTCATGGTTTTTAAAGTTGAGTTAATATTCATTAATAAAAAAGTGAAGAGTAAAAAAAAATTCATTTGAATTAAAGGAGAGACAGGCATGTTCTTATTCTAACCTTATTTTGTATATATGCTGCTGTGATGTGTATGATGAAGGCATAAGGTTGTTAGGCACTGAACTCAAGTGCAATAGCATTTTTTTATCTAACCCACTTACTCTCCCCAGGAAAATTCAAACTCTTAAGATTTAGGCCCAGATCTGTCTGGCTTGCTTCCAGTATACCAAACTCCCTTTCTGAAAGGACTCTGATCTTAACTGCATGTGTGAATTTCCTCAGTGGTGGGATAACGATGCTTTCAAGCCCTCATTTCATCATTTGCCTTAAGTATGAAACACTTGCTGGAAGTGCCTTGTCTTCCCCTCTGCACTGAGTACACGTACAGGGATCTCAGAATTCCTGTCCTTCACCAGGTGGAGCAGAGAGACAAAATTCCCTGTAGGAAAACAGCAATGTGACCATATACTCACTTCTACCACTGTTTACCATGTTGGTTTTGTTTGTTTCAATAAAGGTCCATGAAGGATTCTTGGAAAGTAAGATTGCTCCCATGAACGTTAGTGCCACTGGCAGCTCCTCTGAGAAAAGGAATACTGATTTACGAATATACATGCTGTGCTTCCTGCCATTCCTGGTCCTCCTGGTCTTCATTCGTGACCTTAAGAGCCTGTCCTTGCTTTCATTGCTTGCCAATCTGTCCATGGCTGTCAGCCTGGTGATTATTTACCAGTATATTGTTAGAGTGAGTATAAAAAAGTTTATTATCTGTTCTTTTCAGTGTGGCAAATTATGTTTGATGAATGTGGCAGTTGGTTTCTGATAGATATATACTGACTGACAATTTCTGAAAGGCAACACTAACTTTATTTGAGGCATCTTAATTTAAGATAATAAAAATATTTTATTTTCTTGAGTGGGAAGTGGAGCATGGGAAGAGAGGCAATGAGAATATGGACTGGGCAAGGAGGCAGGAGAAATTATGAAAAAAAATTGGATAATTGATAGTAATAGTAATTAATCATTCTGCAGAACTTTGTCTTGTGTTAAAGAGATGTTCTTTTAGTGCCCCTTATGGTTTTAAAGAATATCTGTGCAGTATGAAAGCAGGTTAGAAAGAGCAGTACACTAAGAAGTTTGCAGAAGATAAGACTTGAGATGTGCACTTTCCCTTCTGTTTTAAGAGATGCTCCCTTATGCACACCAATGTGTTACTTTAAATGTGAAAATTTCTAGTGACAGTGATGGAATTTAGAATAAATACATCTGCAAGTTTCCATATGGGAAGGTGGCTATAAATGTGTATAGAGGACTAGGTTTGGGAGGAAAATCAGGGATTGTTAATAGCAACATGTACACCACTGTCAACATGTACTGAGTTTTCTTTTGTATAACATAATGCATCAGTCAAAATTGTAGGAAGAGGTAATGCACTGTTTTGCTTTGTTTTCTTCAGGATCTAGCAGATCCTCGAAAACTGCCACCTGTGGTTGGCTGGAAGAAATACCCACTGTTTTTTGGGACTGCAGTATTTGCTTTTGAAGGAATTGGTGTGGTAAGTGCTTTTCACTGTCTCTTCAAAATCACTGGTTTTGTGCTGGGGATACAGGCAGTTTTACTCCTGTTGTTATTTTTTTGGTTTTGTGAAGCACTAATCTCCTGTGTTTGTGTGAAAAGGATTAATTTGTCTGGTCAAATAAGGTGAAAGTTGTGGACACAACATCCCCATGGCTTGGATGCTTAGCCCTGTCCCAAATTGCAAAAATGCATTTAGTCCCAAATAGTTAGTGTCAGGAAAATCCACAAACACCTGAGGTTTATGTCCAAAAAGGAGACAGAGGAGTCCTGCAACTTTATTTAAACAAAGGCAGAGAGTCCTCTGGGGCACACACACCTGCGGGGTTTTCTCTCTCGAGGTTTCAGAGGGCGCAGCCTCCTTTTATCCCAAACTCCCTTCTGCATGTTGCCCTCTTCCTTTCCCCATTGCTGAGGTACTTGGAGGGTACAGCCTTCCTGAACTGCCTACCACATATTCCCCCCTTGAACCTAGTGTTTTACCCCAAAGTTCAGAAGTTCAGGGGTGCAGGCCCACTTGGCTGTTTCAGGAGTCAGACTGTTGGGGCTCTGTAGTGAACCTGCTGCCCAAAGCCAGTAGAGACATTAAGATCCATTTCAAAGATGTTAACACCCATCCTTTCATCCATCAAATTATTTGCAAAGACATTAGCTTTCCTCTCATTAGTTAACCACTTTTATTCCATGTGATATATTTTAAAAGGTAGCTAAAGAGGCTTCTTGGAATGGTAGGTCATAAATTGTTGGGGAAATTAGTGTATATACTTTATTTTTTCTATATTTACATATTTAAGTAAGTGTTATGCTTAAAGTGTATGTTTAAAATTAAAAAACAGCCAACCAACCCCTCCTTCTGTCCCTACCCCGTCCCCCCAAAAAACTCCGAACAAACCCAAACTACAACAACTCCAAAGCAGCATGCAGTTAATCTGAGATGATTGTCTGTCACTCATATAACACAGAAGATTTTCAAGTCTGTTTTCTTTTTTAGATTTGTCAATTCTGACTTAAACCAGAGTATTTTACCTTGCTGCTGTGTTGTCAGAATACCTGAATAGGAAAACTTTTTACCTTAGTTTGAAAACATACTTTTGTAACATATTTTCCACTGTTTCTCACATATAAACTGATTGATTCAGAGGTTTACCTACCCTAAATCTGTGTGTATCTGAACATATTTTGTCATGTGGAAATTTTGTTATAGGAAATCAGCTGTTTGTCTGAGATTATTTGATACCTACAGGTCTTGGGCAAAAAAACCTCCCCAGCCTCAGAGAATCAGACTGGACTACACCAAGCTTGTTACTTTTTGGTTATGTAGTCTGCCTGGGACAGACTACACTTGCTGTGTGTGTCATGCACAGTAGATCTGATGCATGCCCCAGTTTTATCAGGTTTGCTCATGTACTGCATAGCACACAGGTATTTGTAGCCAGGGAATCCCAAGTGAGAGCTCTGTAAGCCTCGGGAAGGTGGTCAAGGCTTATCATTTGGTAGCAGTAGTTTATTGAATTATAGGTAGGGAATTGGTTTATTGTAATTATTTTCTGGCACATTGGATCCCAAATTAGACAGCTCCTTAAGTTTACATCAACAGTAGCAGCATTGACTTCTGATGTAAACCTCTTAAAGAACTTCCCAGAGCATTGTTTGACTCCCTGGTTGTTACTAAGGACATCTTTAAGAACATGAATTTTTTATCTCTCTTTTATTCCAGAGCTTAATGATGTAGGGTTTATTCTATGTGTACCTTTAAAATGTAAAAATGCTACTTTCTATTATTAGATATTAGTGTTATGTATGTATTGCATGTATTTCTGCATAGGCTGTCTCTCTTTTTTACTTGGTCATAATTTACTCCCTCTTCAAAGCAAATTGAAAGCATGGTTAAGTTTTCACCTTGTTATTAGTATTTACAAACTAATTAAATGTTTATGTGTATTACGGTTCAATACACTTTCTGTGTGTGCTTACATTACAAAAAACCATTAATATAACATGGCTACCTTTATAAACTGAAATGAAAGTGAAAATCTATAGCTTAATGTCTGTTCATTATATGCAGCATGATATTAAGATGTCCCTGCCTCTCAGGAATATTTTGGGCATGCAACATGTTTGCTTTGCATGCTTATGCTGTATTTGCATTCACTATAGAGAAGATCTGAAGAAAAGATTATTTCATATATTTGAATAATCAGAACTAAACAAAGTTGTTGAAGCATGAAATAAAAAAAAGATAAGTGAAGCAAAGCAAGACAAGACATTTCCTCTTTACATAATTAGTATTTCATGTAATTCTTGGTGAATGATTTAATTGATAACTAGTTATTATAGCTCAGGAAGTTGCCATCATAAACCTGTTGTGTAGCTGGTGTGTGGTAACTTTGTTACCCCGTCTTACTGTCCTTCCTAGGTCCACATGGTTGAGTTGTTCTGGTAAGGAAAAAAAAAGCTCCATTTAATTCAATTGGCTCCTTAGTCTACTCTTGTCTGACTGCAGGCACATAAAATGGATTTATGTAATCTTGGTCTTGTTTTTAGAGACTTGATTTTAGGTTCTGTTCTGGAATGTCTTGCAAATATCTAATATTACTGTGAAGCTGTCTGAACATGGCATTATAAACAGATGCCTTAAGGTCTTAATTCTCAGAAAAGTTGATTTTGATTGCTTAATTTTATACAATAAGTTGGCATACCAGTTATGGTATGTTATGAGGTCCCATTTTTCCTTTTCCTTGAATCTGAATGTGTGTTATGCCAATTCTCATCTTGAGAGCTGCCAGATTACTGGTGTTGTGTAAAGGGACAATGAAATTCTGAGGTTTTGGGCTGGTGAAGTCATCTTAAGCAGAACCTGACAAGAGAGGAAAACTGCCCTCAGTGTGTTTGCTTGGGTTTCTTTTCATCCCGTTGATCCAAAATACATATATCTTAATTTTTTTTTCTTTTGGTTTAGCACTTGTCATCACTTAAAATATTACTATAGTTCATTAGTAACTAATAAAAATTAGTGACACTAATAAAACAGAGGACCTATTCACTAAATGGAACATGTTTCAAAGAGCTGCAATGATTCAGCAGATTCCTACTAGAACTTTCCTCTTGATCTTGAGAGATCATGTTTGCCTCACAGATGATGAGCATATGAACATGGGTTTTGGTTAAAATCTGTCGTTAGCTTAGGACTGATTAGCTGTCATAGTGTTGTAAGAAAATTAGCAGTATGGATTTTGGAATATTGTTGCTTTGGCTATAGTCGATCCCTAAATAAATATACTTGAAGAACCTCAATTTTACTGACTTTAGTCTGTAATAACGAAAATGTGGACTATTTATATTTGAAATACAGGATCTCAAAGAAACCAAGGTAGTGCCTAGAAAGTAGCACTTGGGTGGTACTAAGAGCTAGTTTAAACATTTAATCAGCCAGTACTATAAAACTATTTTGAGACATATTTCATTAAAATAAAAACAATTAATATGATGAATTGATGATATTAATGTGATGAATTGAGCTGTTCATACTTGCCTGTGATCCATCTAGACTCTTACTTGATGGCAGGTTTGAGCAATTTTGGTAATTTGCTAAAGTCTAGGCAAGTTGTTTTTTGTTGCAATTGCTGTAGCAGGAATAAGGTTAGTGCTATTGAAGAGCTGATTAATGTTAATTCATGCTGTACTCTGAGTGATGCTTGTAACAGGATTAAGAAGTGCTGCAGTCAGTTGCTTGTGCTGTTCATTTAGTTGCTGCCACTTAGAGATGTCTGTAAAAATGGGGTTACTCCAGATTGGTCTAAGGTTGCTGCTGCAAATGGTGGCTGTCTTGACAGCTGGGTGGGGATCATTACTGTGTGAGAACAGACAGGAGAGGTTGGCAGCAGGGGCACCCAGTGACCCCGAGGTAGCAAACAGCAGCTGAGAGCTCAGTACTGTCAGTCTCAGGGTTACCATTCATAGTGTTGAGGGTTGCTTTGGGATTTCATCACTTGTAAGTTTAGACTTTAACATGATCAGGGTGACCTTGTGAAAATCCTACTGACTGGTGACATCAGTTCAGTTTGTGGAACAGCAGTGGCAACAGAAATGCAGTACTCCTAAGTGGATGTGTTAAGAAAATTAATCCACAAATACCAGAGGTTTGTGTCCAAAAAGGAGACAGAGGAGTCCTTTCTGGCTTTATTCGAATAAAGGAAGAGACCATGGGGCATTCTGGGATCTCTCAAATTTTTGGAGGGTGCAGCCTCCTTTTTATCCTAATTTCCCAGCCACATTTCCCTTCTCTCTTTCCCCATTGGCTGAGGTACTTGAGAGGTACAGACTCCCCGATAGGCCTGATACTAAAGATTTCCCTCTAATGAATAACCCTCCCTTTTAATTTTTAATTGATATGGAATTTAGAGGTTTTTCTTCCCCACTGTTTCTTTCATCTCTCAATGTCTAATTTCGTTTATCAGCAAACCTAAAGTTTATTTGTAAAAGCAAATATCTTTTTCTATTCATCAATCAGTGGAATCCTTCCCATTGTTTCTTTTATCTCCCAGTGCTAGTTTTATCTAGCAGCAGACCCACAGCTTCTTTGTAAAGAAAAATCCACTATTCCTCTCAGATGCAACAAACCACATAAGATGTTTGGTTTTGTTTAAACCTTCCAATGAAGATTTTGGCTCAGGGACAGAATGTTGATTTCAAAGTGGAGAAAATGTATCTTCTGCCCTCAGTGAACCTTTTTGAGTACAGGGCTGTGCTGGGGCTGGGAGATTTGGCAGCTGCTGCTTTGCCTCTGTAGTTTGGTTCTCTCTGGCTGTGGGTTCCCTGTGCCAGATGATGCTGCCTGGCAAAGCACGGGGCTGGTGTTCAGGCCACAGAACAGAAGAGAGAACCAATGCTACTCCTTGAATACAGGAGCTGTGGCTGATGTAGTGGAGTGAAGATGTCTTTCACAGAACATGAAACATTATTTTGTAAGAACCATGTTAG